TTATTTACCTAAATCGAGGGCTATAATAAATAAAATTTAATAACTACTTATAATAATCGAACCTAAGTTCTAATTATTTAGAATTATAAATAAAAAAGAGGCCGTATTAATTAATAATAAAAAGTAGCTATTACTACTTATATTTACTTTATAAAAAATAAATAAGGTTATAAATAAGCTTAGTTCGTTTCTAAATAAACGAGGTAAGTAACTACTTATTTCTAAATAAACCCTAGATTTTAAAAGTCTAGAATTAAAAACGAACCTTACTTAGCTAATTAAGTTAAAGAGCGAGGCTATAAAAGAAATCGATTTTTTTATTAAGAGGATTAAAAATATAATATATATATAAATAAAAATAAAAACTTCCTAAAGCTCTTATAAAAAAGATCTTTTTATCTAACTAAACTCTAATAAACCTCTTTAATAAATAAGCCTATATTAAAAAATAAAAATAATAAACGACTTAGTTAATAATTCCGATATAGTTAATATATATAGCTAAAAAAAAGATAAGTATATTAAATAAAGCTAGAGGTTAAAAAACTAATTACTAAAAGTATTTATTTAAAACCCGAGTTAATAAGAGCGATTTAAGTAGTACTCTTTTTATACTTAAATAAAAAAAAACTAAGATTCCTTTTTTAATACGTATATACTTAATTAATAAAAAGCGGTTAACGAAGTAACCTAGGAGTATTAAATACTATATTATTATATTTATACCGTAATTAGTAAAACGAAGTACGTTTTACTAACTACGGTCTAATTTAATTAAATTTATATAGATTAATTAATTACCTTTTTAAAAAAATAAAAGGATATTTTTAAAATACTAAAACCTCTAAAAAGTTAATTTATAAAAATAGTATAGTTAGAAATTTAAAAACTAAAAAAAATAAATACTTAAAAAGTAGTTAATAAGGCGTCGGTTATTTCTAAGCTAATACCCCTTAAATAAGTATTTAATTATAAACTTAATAATAATAATTACCTCGATCGCTATAAAATAAGAATCTACGTTAGGGGGGACCTTTAAAAATAATACCCTTTAAAAAAAACCTACGTAGCGACGCTAGTTACTAAAACGTTTAGGGTAGCTATAGTTATTACTACTTAATTCGATTTAGAAATTTATTAATATAATATTATAAATACTTTTTTAAATATAATTAAAAAACTAAATAACCCCCCTATTATTTATAAGTTTTTAAATAGCTTTTATAAACTAAGAATATACTTAGAACTTAAACGGGCCTTATATAGTACTTATAACGCTCTATTATTATAATATAAAAAGCTAGCGTTAATTTTTAAAAATTTAAGTCTCTTATTTATAAATAAGGACCCGTACTTATTTTAAAACTTTATTAAAAAGGTCCTAGTTCTTTTTTATATAAATAATATCTTCGTTTTTTATTATAAAAACTACGTTTACGAGGCCGGTTAAGTAACTAAGGGACTTAAAAAAAAGTATAAAATAAAAAACTAGGAGCTAGTTTCGTAATATTTTAAAATAAGGGTCGTTTATAATTAACTAAATAAGAAAATATACCTAACTTACGATTAGTATTTTAAAAGGGTAACTAAGAAGTTTAATCTTACTAACTTTACTACTTTTATAACCCTATTATTAATAGTCTTAATTAAAAAAAACCTAGGGATTATATCCCCGAGTAAAATTAAGTTTTTTTAAAAAAAGGTTAGATTAATATTATATATAATAATTATAATTTAGCCCGACGTCGTTTTTATATACGTTTTACTCTTTTAGTTCTTAACGAACCCGTCCCGTTAGTATTATTTTATTATAAATTAAGTTATATAATACCTTTTTTATATATAATACTTAGTAATATACTTTAAAATCTCGGGGAGTAACTAGGTATTATTAATTATAAATAACGCTTTATTTATAAATAATAAAGAGATTTAAAAATCTTCGTAGGGTTTTATAATTTCCCTTTTTAATAGCCTCGTTTAGTAAAAAGTAGTTTATTAAAATATAATAACTACGTTAACTATAAAAGCCGAATTACTAAGCTTAGAATATATAACTAAAAAAATACTCGCTCTTAAACGCTTTTTTAAAAATATCTCGCTCGAGCTTAGTAACGTATAAAAAGTATATTATAATAATTATTAAATAATTAAACTCGTAATAAAAAAAGAAGAACGTATCTTAACTTACCTATACTACGTTAATATTTAAAATATATAACTACGATAAGAATATTTAAAAAGCTTATTTTAAATAGTTTATATATTAATAAATAAAATACTAACCAACGGTTTTATAAAAAACCTTTTTAAAATAAAGTTTAAGTACTTTATATTACTCCTAAATATAAGAAATATATAAAAAATAATTATACTAAACGAGGGGACGTTTAAAAAGTAATAAAACGGCCTAAGGGGCCCGGTTTTTAATTAAAAAACGTAGCCTATAACTAAAGAATATAAAGTCGCTCTAATAACCCCGTTAAATTACTTAAAAAGAGGCTATTTACTTAAGAGGATAAGCGCGTATTTATTTAAAAAGGACTTAAACGCAGGCTATATACTTAGAGGGATATATAAACTAATAAAAATATTAATTTTAATTTAAATACTATTTATTTTTATAAATAAAGTAGTTAATACCGTTACGTCCTTAATAAGTTCTTTTAATAATATTTTTAATATAAAAAGAGTATTTATAAACGCCTTTTTTATTAAGGCCTTGTTTATATAAACCCCCTTACCCTTACCCTTATTTAAAAAACTATTATACTTAAGGGCCTTACGTAACGCCGCTATTATATAAGTTAAGGACTATATATTAAATTATAAATAATAAATAGAACGAGGATAGCTTAAAATATATTTTATAGAGTATAAGTAGTTCTATATTAATAACTACGGCTATTACTAACTTTCTTATTACTTCCTATTTAAAGTATAAGAACTTTATATTTAAAAACTATATATACTTTTTAAAAATAGGGGTATAACCTAACTTTTTATAAGTTTAGTAACGTTAGTATTTATTATTAATATATAAACTTAAGAAGTATATACCGTCCGAACGGCTACTAAGGGTACTCTTAATATACTTAAAATATTTAAAACTAGACGGGGGTAGAGGTACTAGCTCGTATTAAACTTTAATATTAAAAATAGTACTAAAAAGGTCTGTTATTAAAAATTAGTTTTATAAATAATAATAAATAAAAAAGTATTATATATATAGTTAACTTCTCTATACCCTCTAGGGAGAAGCGAGGGAGGGGGTTATAAACCTATTTTATTTTTCTAGTCTTTTTAAAAAAAGTCGTCGTTTTTTTTTTTTTTTTATTTAAAAAAAAATAAGAGAGGGGGTTATAAACCCTCTTTATTTACGCTATTTTTTTAAAAAACGAGGACTTTTTTTTAATATTTAAAAAAAAATAAGGGAGAGGGTTATAAACTCTCTTTATTTATACCGTCTTTTTAAAAAACGAGGACTTTTTTTTAATTTTTAAGAAAGAGCGAGGGAGGGGGCTATAAACCTTTTTTATTTTTATTACCCTTTTAAATAACTTATTTAGTTATAAAGCTACTACTTATTAAATAAAATAATTAAATTAATATTAAATAAATAAGGCCGTTTTATAACTAAAATATAAAATAAGGGAATATTACTTATTTATCTCGGGCTCGTAGAGGGGGCTAAGAGAGCTATTACTCTTTTTTAAAACTATAACCTCGTACTTATATTTTTTAACTTCCTATACTATAATAATACGAGCGTAGTTTTTAATTAATTATTTTAATAATATTTAAATAAAATAATATTATTAATTAAGATCTTTTTTTTAATAATATATATATATAAAAACGCGGGTATAGAAATAAAAAATAAGGGTATATATATATAATAATAATATAAATATAAGTTAAAAAGGGAAAAAAAGTTAATACTATAAGTAGTAGCGAGAAATTTATATATTTATTACCCTTAACCCGTAAATCGATTATTTAGTTAATAAGAGGCCGTCTTTTAGTTATACTTTTTATTAATAATATAACTTTAAAATTACTTATAATAACGAATACGGAGGTTAATTTATAGCCGATTTACCTCTTACTTATAACTCTATATATAAACCGATTTATTTTATAATTCTTTTTATAAATAAATTCTTATATATTAGTATTTAGTTTTCTATTTTTAGTAAACCTTTTTATAACGATATAGGTAGTTAAGTACGCTTTTTTTAAATATATATTTATTTAGGAAGGTATATTATAATAGCTTTAACTATTTATAACCTTATTATATATTACGTAACCTTAGTTATATAATTACCGAGGCTTATTTTGCTTATACCCTCTATATTAAAGCGAGCTTTATACCTATTTCCTATTTCTAATAAATAACCGTTCTCTTTATATACGTCGATACCCCTATAGTAACTCTATAATAAAAAGACTAAGGGCCTTATTAAGCTCTTTAACCGCTTTAAGGCTGAGCGCCACAAGCCCGAGACCGCGTAGAACATTATACTCATATCTTATACCACGAACAATCGCCGACTTAACGTACAATATAGTCAATTACCAGTATATGATATTCCGATTTAATCTTTCTAGCTTCTGATCATGTCCTGAATCATGCGCTGCCTTTCTTATACACTCAGTCACATTGCATAGAACCGTGCTCATAGTAAGTAAGGTCACAAGCTTAGACGCCGGGCGAGGTTCTGGTGCATCGAACCGTCAAGGGTTCCAAAATGTACCACTGACCACAACGAGATCAATCCCACCCTGCTTTGGGTCCCTTGGATTCTCGAGTATAACAACATCGAGGAGAGCAAAATTATCACTACATCTTCAGTGAAGGCCCGGAGAGCTTCTTTACTCCAGCAGACAGGTTCTCTCACGACTCGCCTGGATGTTTTACCTAGACTTTCACCTACCTAATCTATTCACTCGGCAAGGTGACTCCACTTACATTCTCAAGGTCGTAGACGCTCTCAATGAAGCTCGTCTGGAGACGACTTGTATGGAAGCCACTTCACTGGAACTTCGTAAGTACCGGTGGTATTGAGAACCAAGAATGGACGTTCTCACTGAGACCATCTCGAATACACCTCCCGGGCCCAGCTAGGAATTATTGGAGCTGATAGTCCCCCTGACATCGAGTCGGTGAGATAATGTGAATTTCCTTAACAAACTTCCATCTGACCTCTTATCAGGAGAATTGTTCCAACTTTGGCTTGCAGTGCCAGGTCATTGGACGTCTCTGGCGTTTGGGCCAGAAGGGGGAGGTGTCCTGGAAAATCCTCCAAACCCAGTCTACTTTTGACCCCTGGCTTAAGACCAAGAACATGAGGGCGTACGTGAGCACCGTCGAGGCGGAGGCTGCTATCGATGCTCGCATCACTACATCTAGTAGGTGAGATAATATGAATTTCCTTGACGAATTTCCATCTGACCTCTTACCAGGGCCCTACCATTAACAGAAATTCTCTGTCGTCAACACCAGCGAAAACGCTGTACTGAGACAAGATGGGCCATAGGCTTTTCAACGCCAACGCCAGCGCCGGTGCCGTGAGATGAGCCTCCATTTCCTTTCTTCCTTTGAGTTCCTTTTTATCAGCACCTCCATTCCCCTCACGTCTCATCACATCAGCTCCGGGAAGTAGGCCACACCACCCTAAAAACATCCGAGGCTAACAACAGATGGATAGAACGAAGAGAACGACAAGGCTTTCGGCGACAGGGAGCCTTCAGGTGACTCTTGCGCCCAAGGCGACTGCGAACTTTGCGAGCTGACTGACGACTCTATCACTACGATCGACTCTGATCTCTATATGACTTTGCACTCCGTCAACCAAAGCATTGGTCGTCGTGAAAAGGTGCGAATGGCCAAGGAAGCTATTGCAGAGAACCAGAGTCGTGTGCATTTTCTCAAGTACGAGACGGAATACCTCGAGAGAAACTAGTCGGAAATCGAGTGCAGAGAGTCCGACTGCAAGGCTATTCAAGAGTTTATCGAACACATGGAAAATCACTGAGGCATGTCACTGAGCTCCTACCTGGCTATCGACTAGGCAATCTTGCATGAGCAGCGTGACCGCGCTCTTCAACATTGGGTACCTTACAGATGGATAGAAGGAATTACTCGAATTGGTCATCATGAATGGCCAGTGATATGGCTTGGAAATAGGGAGAAGCGATATGCTGCATCACGCAGTTAGGGCCACCGGAAGATACCACAGGGGCCTAGTCACCTAGTGACCATAGCTGATTCAACACAGCACCAATGAATGTGATTTGTTCAACGACCAATAATTATGTCCTCCGCAATCTTCTCTGCCAAAGCGTACACAGCAGACTGAGGGTGTCCCGGCAGAGCAAATGGAAAAGCGCTCGCATCAGCGACTCTCAGCCCCTGGACACCAAACACACGCCCGCGGCTGTCTACCACCGCCTTGCCCGATGTGACGTCTTCCTCTTTTCCCATGGCAGCAGTGGACACAGGATGCCACACTTGCCCCACGTTAGCCCTCACATACTCCAGTATCTGTTCGTCGGTCTGCACCGAATCTCCTGGGAGCAGCTCAGGGCCAGTCTTGAATCCGGGAGTATTGGCGAATGGTGAGGCCCAAGCCGTACGTAGCCGCTTGACGGCCGTGACAGCTATTTCTACATCGGCGGAGTCGGATAACCAATTCAAGTTGATGACCGGCTTCGCGTCAATGGAAACTGACGATATAGTGACGTTACCGCGGGAGAAACCGAGAGGGAGGTAAGCAGCGAGAGTCCCGCTAGTTTGTCCTGGCCCAGTTGAGAAGGATCCTACGATGAAGGAAAGCTGAGGCCAGTCAGAAGGAACCGAAGCAAGCTTGTCGCGAGTTGTTTGCGTGAGATTGGCGAGAGTAGAGTTGGGAAGCCGCTCGTGCGCCAAAAAGCCTGCAGCGGAACTGTAGGGACCGGTGCCAAATTTGAGATACTCTTCGACGAAGCCTGGGTTGAGGGCTGGATCATTAGTGAGAGATTGTGCAGAAGGCATGCTAACGGGGTACGCGACGAAGATCTGGATTGGGTCTTGCAGGTTCTGTCCCACGCCGGGGATGTCGGCGATGACCGGGATTGAGAGAGCTTCCAGTCTTTCGCGAGGACCAATCCCAGAGACTTGGAGAAGTTGCGGAGAGTGAAACGTGCCAGCGGTGAGGATGACTTCTTCATTAGCAGACAGGGTGTACTCGACCCCTTGGGAGTTGACGCTCACACCCACAGCCTTGGTGCCATCGAACAGGATCTTTGTTGCCAGAGTGTGAGTGTACACAGTGATTTCAGTGTCCTTGATAGCCTGTCGTAGAAAGCTGCTCTCGCTCGTAGATCGCTGCGTCTTTTCCGGCTCGATCGTCGAAGGCACCCACGCGCCGTATCCCGCAAGCGTGCCACTGCTGGATCCCTTGGGGCTGATACTCAGTCCGAGGCTCAGAACCACTTGAGCAAGCCACGTAAGCGTCGGGTCGACCCAGTTATTCCAAGAAACCTGCAACGGACCTCCCTGCTTATCGTAGTCGCTAGGATCGAACCTCACAGTCGCATTCGTGTTCTGCCTCTTCTCCTCGTTCGGCGGCGTGAGGTCGACAGAGCGCTTGAAAAACCTGAGCATGTTCTCCCAGCGAAACGTCTCATCGCCAACTGTCTCGGCCCAGAGGTCATAGGATCCCTTTGTTCCGCGGATATACGACATGGTGTTGATCGCAGAAGACCCTCCAAGCGTTTTTCCCTGCGCATAGTGCACCCGTCGGCCTCCGGCGCCTGCGATCGGTTCCGAAACCAGGGACCAGTCCATCAGGGGCTGCGGTGTGAACTCTGGCGATGGATCGATGAAGGCAATGCCGGTCAGCGAGAGGAGGGGCACGACGCTGTTGTTGCCATTTTCGACCTCGTAGAAACCGCCGGCCTCGACCACAGCGACGGAGGCCGATGTTGCGGCGAGGCGCGACGCGATAGTTAGGCCGGCGGTGCCGCCGCCGATGACGATGTAATCGTAGCTTGTATTGCGGCCGGGGTACCCAAAGGCCGAGGAAAAGAGGCGGTCTTGCGCCGCCGCGAGGCTCACAAGCGACAAGATGAAAGTCCGCAGCATTATGTTGTGAAGGGTGGGTTTGTCGCTTGATACTTCAATCGATGAGCGCGTTTTGCTCGAAGAATTTTTGAAGGAGTGAGCCGAGCTGAACTCCCTGGGGAAGTCCATGATGAAGGTCAATGACTTGAGTCTATACTTATGTATACCCTCCGAATCGCATCATCGTACGTGGGAATCCATCATGGATTGAGTCGTCGGAACGCGGGTCATATGCGCCACTACTGTGCAATCAGGCTAGCATGCTTAAAGACCCCTGAAGATGGGCTATACGGGCGTCGTGAGGTTGGTTCAGAAGTGCTGTAAGGTCGGCTCGGATTCTGTTGTTGGATTTAGCCAGCTGTCAGATTCGATAGTCTTTGGTCCCCTAGCAAGACGTCAGCACAGCGTAGGATTTCCTCCCGGGCATGGTGACAGATTGGGGGATGAATACTGGAGGGATTTAAGGGGAAAACGGGCCGTCGCTTAGTGGATGGGATACGTTACATTGTGCGCTGACAGATCCCACACCATGCTGTTTCTTGACTACTGCTCACTAGGTATGGTGCCGGTATGTCAAGCTACAGAATATGGTCTGACAAGCCAAGGCCACGAGTTGATGGTTGTGTATCTATGGTAAGTTGAGGGAAGCCATTTCCGTCGTTGAAAAACTAAAGGGATTCTCGAATCCGCAGGAAGGCAGTAAGGGGTTGGATTGAAAGACAGAAACAAGAACATAAAATAGGAAGATTATTCTCACAAAGCAAGAACCAAAAGCTGATTGCTGCCGACCACAATGGACGTGACTGACCTTGTACAACCTTACCTTTTCAGCCAATCGTTCATTGAGCTACTTTTGTAGGTTGGCCATTCCTTGGCCTAAGGCTTTTTTGCCCAGTGGGAGGCACAGCAACTACTTACTAAGTAAAGTGCTTTAGATAAGCTGCATCTCACCTGCACCTCGTAATCTCACCATGCCAGGCTTCCTTATCATGTTCAGTCAAACTGTATTCAACCATATCGATATCATCACTTTCAGAACGCGAACCTCTTCCGTGGCGGACGGAAGCGGACCTTAGACCTCCTCAAAGTCAAATCGGCCGTGATAAGGCTGTAGCTGGGTCCATGGAGCCACTCGTCAGTGGTATTATTCCGGAACTCCGAGGTACCCGGAATGACCGGCTGGAGCGAGACGGGGAGCACGATAGCCTGGCGGCGCGAGGAAATTCGAACCGTCGAGATCATGACCATATTCCGATGGCACCGAGAGAGCATATGCAGCCGGAGAGGATGAGCACCCCTGTATACTTGGTGCTTTTCTCACTAACAGTAATATGCCTCGCCATGGCAAAAGTCGCCTTGGGTGCTTTTCTTCCCCCAATCGACTGGTGGATCCCATTCCCATCTCTAGGGTCTGTCTTGGGCGGTAGGGGATCCAAGTCGTCTGTAGCCCAGTCGTCGTCATCTTCAGAGTCCTGGTTCAGAGGAGCCACCGAGACCGCTGCCATTATCTTCAAAACCATCATAGTGATCCTTGGTGGCAAGTACATAATCACCAACGGATCTCAATGTCTCGTCGACTTTTTCCCGGTAGAATCTGGTCCGCGATCTCTCTTGGAAAACGGCACTCTCCGACAAACCCTTACGCTTATGAGCTATTTCATCCTCCCCACCGCAACGTCGGCTACGGTCTCCTCAGTTGTCCCAAACGGCTTCTGCAATCCAAAGGCCAACATTCTACGCTGGTGGCCGCCTCGAACACGAGGTGACATCAGAGCAATATTGGAGGGATGGAGCGGCCTCGCAGGTCTTCACTTGAAAACGGGCGGCAGCATGACGCAGATGTCCAAGTGGAGATGGAATTTTGGGAGAGCTTTCATGTGGTTGTTAGGGGTCGGCACATGGACGACGGTTGAGATTTACTTCGGTCCATGCCGATATTATCTTCTGGCTTGGCGATTCTGGTTTTCGATAGTGTCGGTTTCTTTAGTTTCGTGGTTTCTTGGCAACGCTGAGAAGTTGATTGTGACGAAATGGTCTTCCGTGGGACTACTGCATGTGGAGTTAGCAGTGTATCTGGCAGTCTTCCACTTGATCAGGCACGCAGACTTGGATGGTTTCTGCTCAAAAGCGGATTGTTGGTAGAGTAAGAGGTCTCGAAGAGATATCATGACGCTTACAATGCGATCGAGATGATGAAATGAACGCGATAGACAGGAAACTAAAGAGTGCGTGCAAATGACCTATTTTAGGGAGCTAGATATGACTAAGTATTCAGAGTCCAACCTCCCCAGTATAGGAGCTCATTTATAGTAGCCTTGTTTTGATTTCTTATCCTATCTAACAAATCAACAATACAAAAAAACCTCCAAGCACTACACCTTGGAATATAAATGCGCTAACGAGCTGCCAAAACTCGGTAGAGATGCGACGTAAGAGGGCAGGGTATGATCTTAGAGTGCTGACATGACATGTCAGCCAGCCAAGTACCCAGACGAATCACAGTCGGCTCCAATTCGCAGACTTCATCATCGGTCAGCTGGTTTGCGAATAGCCTCATTCATCTCGAAGACCAGTCTGTGGCGATTTGCCATGGATTGTCATTATCGCCGTTGTCGTACGATAGTTTTTGTGATGATTAAGCAACAGCACGTCATATTTACTGCACCTTACTCGCGTGTAACTGTCCAAAGCATCGTAGTCGAGAAAAGGCGGGGTGAGGCGTGGAACGCGCGGGGTTGGCTCTCTTTATCGGCGTTAATATCCTTACAAATCACAGCTCACATACCTCGGCACAACTTTCTGCCCACAACTACGTCAATGCAGCTTTAATTGAAAGACTATTTCTTGAAGTCCGGTCTCCTAGTTATCAGACACTAATTACTGGCTTTTGGACCATCCTCAAGCTCACAATCCAAGACCACTCACCAGACTTCATCTAAGAAGCTCCTCCAACCCACCTCATTCACCATGACCCAAAACAAGACCCTCATTTTTAAGAAGATCCCCACCGGTCTCCCGGTAGCGGGGGAGCACCTCACCATCGAGGACCGCCCTATTGACCTTAACGATGCTCCCGAGGGCGGCCTGGTCATCGAGGTTCTCTATGCCTCCTTCGACCCCTACCAGCGTGGCCGCATGCGCGACGCCGGCAAAAAATCATACTCCCCCGCCTTCGAGCTCGACGGGCCCGTCACCAACAGCACAATCGGCAAGGTTCTCAAGAGCAACAGCTCCGAGTTTGCGGAGGGCGACCTCGTCTACTCCCACACTCCCATCGCTCAGTACGCCCGCGTCACACCTCAGATCCTGCAGCAAGGCCGCAAGGTGCAGAACCCCCACAACCTGGACCTCGGGCTCTTCCTTGGACCTCTCGGAATGCCGGGTTTGACCGCCTGGTCCGGTCTGCACAAGATTGGACAGCCGAAGAAGGGCGAGACTATCTTTGTCAGCTCGGCTGCGGGTGCTGTCGGCCAGCTCGTCGGTCAGATTGCCAAGCGGGAGGGACTTACCGTGATCGGTTCCGTCGGTTCAGATGAGAAGCTTGACTTCATCACCAAGGAGCTCGGCTTCGATGCCGGATTCAACTACAAGAAGGAGAAGCCCGCCGAGGCTCTTCCCAAGTTGGCCCCCAACGGAATAGACATTTACTTTGAGAACGTCGGCGGAGATCACCTCGAGGCTGCCCTCACCAGCATGAACACCGAAGGTCGCATTGCTGTCTGCGGCATGGTAAGTGAACAAGAGTTCGGTATTCGAGCTTGAATAGGACGCTAATGCGTGGACAGATCTCAAACTACAACACCCCTGCCGATCAACAAAAGGGCATCAACGGCTTGATGCAGCTCGTTACCAAGCAGATCACCCTCCAAGGTTTCCTCGTGGGTAACCCCAAATTTGGCCCCGCCCACTTCAAGGATCACCAGGAGAATTTGCAGAAGTGGCTGTCTGAGGGAAGCGTCAAGTCCAAGCTGGCGGTTACTGAGGGCATCGACAACGCTGCTGATGGTTTGATCGGCATGCTTACCGGAGAGAACTTCGGAAAGGCTATTCTCAAGCTTTAATGAACCATGTCGTAACGTTTAAATGAAAATGAGAAGTTATGACTGATAATATCTCTCGTGCAAAATTTGGTTCCATTGCTAGCTGAGTCGTTTCAAATAATGGCGGCTACGCAACTCAGGTTATGCCGCAGAAGGAGTTCTTACTCCACCCGCTCTTCTTTGCTTCACGAGTGCAAGTCTAGGCCGGCTCACTGCAAACTGTGGGATTGAAAGTCTCGTCCATCACGAGCGGAGATTCGATATCAGTCTGTTTTCGAAAGCTGAGATTGAGTACTGTTTTTGGCTCATACTTGACGTGAGACACGAAGTTGCTGGAGAGTCGAAATGAGTTCGGCTCCCCAAGACCGGGTTGTCTAGATACGACATTCATTGCCGCTCGAACAAGGTTTTTCCGTTTCTCGCAGATCACGCCGTGTATGTCTACCCTCGGAAACAAAACCGCCCAAGTACTTTGGCTCAAGGCTCGCCAAATTCGAGGTTCCGCAGCTGCTGACATGGAAGTGGAGAGACTCAAGAACCCCGTGGGTATCAAATAGTCCGACATCAACCGACTAGCGATTTAAGCTTAAAACTTGGCCAACGTCATTTCCGCAAGCGAACCCTTGCCCGCCGAGAAACACCAAGCGACGACCAAGACAACACCAAGACTAAAAAAGGGTCTTACTCTTCCCATAACCTTTCAGCTTGCTGCAATTAATTTTTGTCCAGGTCAAAGGAAGAAAAGTTTTGGGCCGCCCAGCCTCGGCTTACTCTATTGGGCAACCCGTGCGGGAGGATGTTGGCTCTTCGGGCTCGGCGATGATTTTCGCGATCCACTGCCGGAAGTCAGCTGGCTATCGACTGATATCATGAAGACATGTTCTCTAGTATTCGAGTCATTTCACCTATTGTACTTCAGAGATTGACCAGAGCTCGTCGTTGTCGAAGAGCTTAACTATCTTCACAGGCCTGTCTAGATCTGCATCTGCCTCTACGAAGGATGGCGAAAAAGGAGAAAAGGAAACGTCAAAATTCGCAATCATTGAAACGAAAGTAGCATTGTGAAAGAGATTTGGCCAGCCAACCGACGACATGGCATCGGGCCGTTTCCTGCAGTTGGCTAGAGAAATCAACCAACGGCGCTTAACCACCAACACCCAAGACATTCACCCGGGGAAAGATGTGGGTAGCGCTGTTCCAAGACGCAAAGTCTCCATATCGATGTCTCTTGTTCGTCTGTCAGCTTTCCCAACTCTCAATATGACCTCAGCCAAGTCACCCTTTACCAAATACCGTCTCATCGGTGGCCAACGATGTTGGTCAAGACGCTAAGCCGTGAGTCAGAAGTGAGCAAGTACAAAGCTGGACGCACATCCTGCAGCCACGCTTTCCCCAAGACCTTCAAGCTTCGATTGATCGTCCACCACTACATGCAATTTTCAACTTGTCGACTTGGGTCGGTATCGGAATAAACATGGCCGAGCACAGTACGGCTGTTGAGCCCAATATGACCGAGAAACAGGAAAAGCGCGAACAACCCAGCGACAGCGGCAGCCGAACGCCGTCATCGGTCGACAGCAGCCGTGGCGTCGACCAGAAATCAAAGTCGCCTGGAGGCTTGATGGGATTCTTCGCCAAGATGGGCGATCTGCCAGAGTGGGGGTTCCGCGGGAAACGTCTCGAGGGCAAGCTGCTCAACTGGAGTATTGGATTCATCGCGTCTTGCGGTTTCTTGATGTTTGGTTATGATCAGTACGTGTCTTTCGCTCCAAACTTTAGGAAACCAGGTTCTAATACTAGTATCCAGAGGTGTCCTTAGCTCGCTTCTGACTCTCGATGACTTTCAGAGGAGCATTACCTTGATGACGCCCCTGGACCAGTCAAACGCTCTTTGCTGGCTCGACTACCCCGAAAATACCCAGCGAGACTACAGCCAGTGCACCGGTGACCCAAACACGCAAGCTGCAGCCGTGGCCGTCTATCAGATTGGGTGCTTCCTGGGGGCTTTCCTGATCCTCTTCTACGGAGAGACCTGGGGTCGCAAGTCGTCCACGTTTTGGGGTAGTGCAATCATGATCTTTGGCACAATTCTGCAGGCTGGAGCGCATGAATACGGACTGTTTTCGGCTGGAAGAATCATCGGAGGGGTTGGAAATGGAATGGTCACATCAAGTAAGACCACTCGCAGTCCTTTTCTTTTGTCTACTAAGGTCATGACCTAACCAAAGTGCAGCTATCCCAACGTGGCAATCGGAATGCGCTCGACCTCATCAGCGCGGGTTCCTCATCACGCTCTCTGGCGCTCTCATTTCTGGTGGCATCATGATTGCATACTGGGTGGTAAGTTCTTTTGCCCCACGACTGTCTCATTTACGCGGACTAATGTTGCAATAGGACTACGGATTCTACTTCCTCGAAGGCACCGTCCGCTGGCGGTTCCCCGTAGCTTTCCAGTCATTCTTCACGATCATCGTCATGATTGGACTCCTCTACCTTCCAGACTCGCCCCGGTGGCTAGCCATGAAGGGCCGTATGGAAGAAGCTCGTGAAGTGACGTCTCGCCTTCTTGGTAAACCTATTGATGACGAGGAAGTCACCCTCGAAGTCAAAGCCATTCAGGACGCCCTCGAGGTTCAGAGCCAAGGTGGGGGTTTCAAGTACAAAGAGCTCCTAACAAACGGCCCTTCGCAAAACTTGAGGAGGACTCTGCTCGGCATTGCCGCACAATTCTTCCAGCAGATCTGCGGTAGGTCCAGTCGGGACAACTGCCCGTTATTAGACTTTTTGACTAACACGTTCCCACAGGTATCAATCTGATTACTTACTACGCTGGCTTTTTGTTCGAGAATTCTCTTGGCTTTGGTCCCGAACTTTCTCGACTTCTCGCCGCTCTCAACGGCACCGAGTATTTCCTAGCTTCACTGGTTGCTTTACCACTAATTGAGAGAACCGGTCGACGCAAGCTGATGCTTTTCGGCGCATTCGGCATGATGGCATCAATGGCGATCCTGGCCGGCACTGTCTCAACGGGCACAGTTGCAGATAACGGAGCCCCCAATCTCGAGACTCGCTATGGTGTCACCGCAACAGTCTTCCTCTTCGTCTTTAACTCATTTTTCGCTATCGGTAAGCCCCTCCCACCACTGCCAAGACCTCTTTCTGATCAGACTCTAATGTTCAATCAGGCTGGCTTGGAATGACTTGGCTCTACCCTGCCGAGATCACGAACCTACGAATCCGCATCCAAGCCAACGCCCTATCTACCTGCTCCAATTGGCTTTCCAATTTCCTGATTGTCATGATCACGCCCCCTGCTTTTGCAAACTTGGGCTATCAGACATATGTGATGTTTGCGGTCTTCAACGCCGCCATCATTCCCTGCGTGTACCTCTTCTTCCCTGAACCCAAGGGGCGCAGCTTGGAGGAGCTTGATGTTATCTTCGCCAGCGCGCACGCCGACAAAGTCAACCCCGTCAAACGCGCCAGAGAGATGCGTCACGTTGAGGGGAGAGAGCTTGAGAACGAGCTGGAAAAATATTTTGGCTCAAGTGAAATGGTAGAGGATGCTCGTCCTATGATGCACTAAGATTAGCGAGAGTCATTGTACATAGGCTCTTGAGAGTACTATGTTTCACTTCCATTATTCACACCTGAGATACCGACTTTGCTAATAATGTTCAATCAGCCATTCCCATATGACGTAGCGAAGAATTTGACATGTTCAATGACAAATGAAACGACTTCGCCTTGAGCTTCTAGTCTTCCTTGAGAGATCCGCAGCTTAGGTAAAACCTTGCTTCCATGAAGCGAGCGCATGGGGGTGCTGTTCTTTTGCCCATTCCTAAGTATCAATGTAGTCCAATAATAGTCTCGATATTCCAGACTTTGACGCCTTCGAAGCCTTGACGAGACAATAGCCTTGTCTCTGAAACAACTCGCAACAAGGCTATCGTCTTTAAGAACCGTGAACAGCCCTCGGGTTTACTGCCCTGTTTTCTTTGCCAATTCATTTGCACCTTGACAAAGGTTATTGTTTTGTTTCCATTGAATCCGATGTAAGCATTGTCTTAGCGTTTCTTTCGTAGAGAACGAAGGATTATCGGTCGCCAACAAAGACTGGATGCGAAGGTGTGTGTCATTGTTTCCAATGTCTAGCAACGCAATAGACTTGTTCAGTCTCTGTCATATCGTGCTACTTGTATCATATAACTAGGCTCAACGTCGTTGATCTAAGATATTCGGAGTTGTGAGTTGTCAATACATCCTCCAGCATCCTCATCTCACTTGTTCGATATCAATAGTACGACTCAAAATGTCTTACACTGACGACTACACGGACAGTTCTGACACAGAAGGTTCTGTGTCAACAGTTCACTCGATACAGCATGCTTCTGGCGGCCAAGTCCGTCCTGCAACCCAAAACAACCCCAGTTCACTTCTGACTACGATACTAGGATTCCCTCGAAATAATCCGAAACAGTTCATCTTCTTCATTCTCACCATATTGCTATCTTGGAAGCTAGAGATTTACAGCAAATTAGCAACGCCGTTTTATGACTACACTGCAGGGGACTGGGCCACGATTTTCCAGTACACCTTCGTCCTTCGCTACACTCGCCTATTCTGCAACATCTGGGGAAGCTGGCGATACGAGCCATCCCCCGTTCAGGCCTGGCCAAAATGGACCAATAGAGACGTCACAGTGGTTCTCCCCACGATTGATCCAGGTAACGTAAAGTTTGTAAAATGCATCATCTCCGTACTCGAGAACAGACCAGCGGCCATTCTCATCGTCACTGTCGGCGCCAAGATGCGCCGTCGCTGCGAGAAAGTCGCCAGGCGCTACAAGAAACAATACCCTTCCACGAGAATCGGTGTGAGTGCCATCCTCCACCCCTCGAAGCGACGTCAGGTGGCTCACGCCGTACCGCACGTCGATACCGAAATCACGATCCTCGCCGACGACCACGTTTACTGGCCCAGCACTGAGTTCATACCCTCGGTCCTTGCCCCCTTTGAGGACAATAACATGGGCGTGGTGGCGACATACAAGCGCGTGCTTCGCACGACACCTGGTAAGTGGTCCGTCATCTCTATTGTCAACCTCATCGGATGTTTCTACCTCCTTCGCCATAACTGGGAGCTACGCGCCTCCAATGCCATCGACGGAGGCGTCTTTGTCGTCTCTGGCCGCACCGCCGCCTACCGAACTAAGCTTCTCAAGTCAATGGGTTTCATGGACAGATTCTGCAGGGAGCGTTTTTTCTTTGGCCTTTTCGGCGGTAAAGGTCTTGGCCCCGACGACGATAACTTTCTCACCCGCGAAGCATACCGACATGGCTGGAAAGTCAAGTTCCAGCAGACCGAAGATAGCGTGGTCGAGACGTCGCTGGGCGACGAGAATGCCGTCAAGTTCCGGGGCCAGCTAGTTCGCTGGGCTAGGACGACGTTCCGAAGCAATCCGTGCATGTTGAGGCGTGTCAGCGACGTTTACACCTGGAGAATGCCATACACCTACGTGGCGGTATACGCAGCGGCGCTCTTCAACTTTGCTTTGTTCTGGGATGCGACTCTCTTCGTGTCTCTGTATCTTTCATGGCATACCAGGGGTGTTTTCACGAGCGAGATGGGTCTGCTTGCGCTTTGGGTCCTGTGGACCAAGACTATCAAGCTCTGGCCACACATCCTTCGCCACCCTTCCGATATCCCCTTGATACCATGCCAGATTCTCTTTGCTTACGCTCACTCTCTAATCAAAGTTTGGGCGCTCTTTACGTTTTGGGATTGTGCCTGGCTGGGCAGGAACTTGGACGCTGTCGACGCGGAGTCCAAGGAGTTGAGAAAGGAACTGGATAAGCACTTTACCTTTGCATAAGGTAACTGCTAGAGTCTTCGCGCTGGGCAAGAATATTCAGTGATTTTTTGGGGCGTTTTGGTTAACTTACTTCTTCTATTGTTGGGTTCTTTGCTCAAGTAAGTAAGTCAGGTGAGGTTAGGGGAGTTTGGATTTCATTCTGGGATACCCAGTTGCAATATTTACGTATTATTCAATCGAATTAAGTTGATTTCATTGATTGACCAGTATGCCGATTTTCAGTGACGTGTTCAGTACTGTAATTCCTCTTGTAATCCACCCTGTTCAGCAGCGCAAGGATACTTACACACAACAAACCCAGGCTTCGCAAATACCCGACTAGGCATGCAAATTGAGTCATCGAATTTACGCATCTAGCGCTTTATTGCTTCCGTTGAATCTAGATTTCATTACTTGACACGTGTCTTGAACTAAGAGTTGCTTGGAAAGAGTTTTTACACGATGAAAGTACTTTTTTTGAAGCTGCAAGACAGAAACAACACTCTACGTTGCAAAAGGCCACGCCGGATCGAGCTAACCAAGCTGATAGATCCTCTCCTTATCTGTGGACGGAGTTCACTATTGTATTGATACTGTATTCTCCAACCTGTGACTCACAAAGAATCCAAAGAATCCATCTGCGTCGATAACAAGGTACCTCTAGCGCTGAACACATACGCCCGTGGCTAGTAAAACCCCATACTTGCGCAGGTCGAAGTCATCACCAAACTCCCTTCGAACCAGCAGACATAGCACTCAAGTCTGCCTGACTTCTTGACGCAGCCACAATCTGTGTCCTAGGTAAAGCGCGACTACTTCCTAGTGACCTCTCCTCCGATTGGCCTGTTTTGGCAGGACGGCATACTAAAGCACGTTAGTTTGCCTAGGAAGGATTTGGACCCATGTAGATCGGCAGTCCAGGCATCCCATCTTCCCCGATTTAGGATTCCGGGATGTTATTCAGCCCTGTGGCTTGACGCTTTTTAGGACGCTGGACCTATGAGATCTTCTTGTACCACACCAGAATTCCTATTCCAGGCCGTTGGTTGTGTGTGGCTTTGCACTTGGCTTGATACGTGCATGCAACATCTCTCTTGTCACTCCAGATGAGGACAGGTTTTAGGCACCACCTTAAGGATCTGATCTTAATATAAGTCTACTCGTATACCCAAGAATCCAATCCTCAGATTTTGGTCTAGAATCTTCATCCCGTGAAACGATCAAAGCAACCAACAACAACCAAACACATACATCACCAAAGCCAAGATGTCCTCAGCAGCCAGAATCGTCACCCTCCGGCGTCTCGAGATAATTGCCTTTCCACCAGCCTTGATCCTCCTCATTGCCCACGGGATAGCATCCGAGCGAGCCTTCCCGGCCTTGGGTCTCCTCCCACTCGCCGCCTCGGCCCTCCTTGGCCTCTTTGTCCTCAACCGCGATGCCGTCGCAGCTCTCGGCTCACCGATCCAAGCCCTCTCCGAATCCAATATCTTCTGGGCCGACTGCCTCCTCGCGGTCTTCCACCTCTCGTTCCTGATCCCGAGTTGGATTCTCCTGACGGATCCGTGGCACGAGCCACTCATTGTGCTGGGAACGTATTGCACTGTATTCATGATGTTTGACTTGTAAGTGTTCCTCTTGTCTCGGAGTTGACCGAGCTTCTCAAGGCTGACAATTTTCTTTAGGGGCGTCCATTTGTACATTGTCCTACCGCAGGCTCTTCATTTCCTCGTCAGTCGCAGCTGCGAATGTCCTCACTGCCGCAGTGTCTCCAAGACGGGCTTCTTCTCGTCTACCGTTTCCGAGTATACACCACTTAGCGATGGCGATGAGCCAGAAATGGAAGCTCGGGATCTTGAGGAGGGTAGCGGGTCTCGGCGCCTTTGAGGGGTTCACAAAACAAGATACAGGATATTCCTTGAGCGTATCTCTCATCGTGGGAGATGCAAACTTAGCTCGAGTTTTACTGGCAGACCTGAGCGGACGTATAGCAGCCTGGCGGGGTGTTAGCTTTACACCTCATCCCACACTCTATAGATGTAGAGATCGGTGTAAAATTTTCCCTTTCCTCAAAATAGTCGGCTGCATATATAAGCAGCAACACTGGGCTCTGATTAGCTTTGTTGGACTTCACTTCATTCTCGGTGCCAATTGAGTCGGGTGACGTAAACTATCTGGTTACCAAGTATTTCCGATGCCCGTCAATCCAGAGAGAATTCAAGCCTCCGCAGCCAGAATTGTGTTGTAATGAACAAGAAGTCAACTGACCATTGCTTTTCTCGAGCATATGATTAGGTATCTTATTTCGACAAATCCAAGTCGGGGATGACTCGATTAGTGATATTAGCGTAGTATGAAAAACTCCAGAGTAGTACTTTCAACTCAAATATTGAGCCCCTAACAGCAGATTGGACAATCACGGCAAGGTTCAAACTTTGAATGGTAATCCGTTTTCTTACGTGCTCACTTTGTGTTTTCGTCGAGACCAGACACTGAGGGGAAGATTACTTCATCACAGGTTGTCTTGTTCCTCCTCTCTTTTTTAAGCAAAGTTTCGGCGGAACAGTGAGCGAGAACGATAGCGAAAAAGTCAAAAGCTGAGAAGGGATGCCTTGAAAAACACTCTAATCCTCCACTCGCATTCTCATCTTCCGCGACGTTCTAGGATAACATGATTGTGTGAGCCCAATCTCTATCATCTAACCAAACTCCATTTGCCTTCTCCAGTCAGTTCCGTGCATGAAGAGCTCTGCACATATTATAATGATGCTATCCACAGATCTCACGAACCATGTTGGAATGGGTTATGCTGCCATAGGTTTAATCCTAATCCTCATTACCTATGTAAGCATTGTCTTCAAATAACAGACAGCGGATAGATGCCTATCCAATCAGTAGAGCCTCTATCCTACGATGATCTTGCAAGAAATGCTGTGCTATCTTCATTCAGTGCCCAGCAACTAATTCACCCAGACAATCCACACAGCCTTCATCAATCCCCTCCGACACATCCCAGGCCCATGGCATACTCTCCTCACCCACCTACCTCTCAAATACCACGTCCTCACTGGCCGCCGGATGTACTATGTCCACGCGCTGCACGCCAGCCACGGCCCTATTGTACGCATCTCTCCCCACGAAGTAGCCGTCGCAGACCCAGCTGGCTTTACCGCAATCCACCGCATCGGGGGCGGCTTCCTCAAGGCGCCGTGGTACGAGGAGTCTAACTCGCCTGACGGGGGCGAGCCGAGTATTTTTGCGATGCGTGATCCGAGGAAACATGCTATCCGCAGGAGACTACTCGGCAGGGTCTTTACGAAGGCTTCGCTCAGGAAAGAGTGGGAGGGCGTCGTTAGAGAGAAGGTGAATGCAGCGGTAGGCAAGATACGTGCAGAGGCTGAGGGGGGTGGGTGCTCGGATGTCTTGAAGTGGTTCACCATGATGGCGACTGATGTCGTGGCACATTTGTGCTTCGGGGAGTCTTTCAATATGCTCGAACTGGGCGAGGTATGATGTTATTCAATTCCCTCCTACGTTTTGCTGGCCAGTATACTAACGACAAGATGAAAGACAAACGACTACATGAAGATGCTGGAGCTTATATCGGTCCAAAACATCACGCGTTATGAGCTGCCCTGGCTGCACTTCATCCGCTCTCACGTGCCACTCCTCAAATTCTCGACAGATCTCGTCGACGCACAAGCCGTCCTTGACAGCTACGGTAATCGCGCGCTTGAGAGCCTCCGCCAGAACAGCGATCGCAACAGGACTCTGTTCGCGACCTTGCTGAATGCTCTCGACGCAGACGATACCAGCAGCAAAGAAGAAAAAGAGAAGGGCGGCAATGCGAAGTTAACGGAAGAAATGGTGCAGAGAGAAAGCCGGAGCATGATCATTGGCGGCTCGGACACAACGTCCATCACGCTGGCGTACCTAGTTTGGGCGGTCATAAAGCGACCTGAGTTGAAAGTCAAATTGGAAGATGAGGTCGCGGGGTTGACCCTCGATTTCGACGATCATGGGCTTGAAAAGCTTCCGCTGCTCAACGCCGTGATTGACGAGACGTTGAGGCTATACGGCGCTGTCCCGGGACAACTGTCGAGGTCGGTGCCGGCGGGCGGCGCCACGCTTGGGGGCTACTTTGTCCCCGGCGGCGTGACGGTGGAGACGCAGGCGTACACGCTTCACCGGGGTCCGGATGTGTGGCCGGATCCCCTACGGTAAGGCTTTCACTGATTACTTTACGAATGTGGTGTTGCGACGGAATGGCGTCGAAAAGAAGCAACCAGCTGACGTGACAAAAGCTTCGACGAGACACGATTCATGGACCAAACCAAACTCACGCCGAACCAGAAACTTCTCTTCTCGCCTTGGGGCGCGGGCTCACGGATCTGCCTGGGCGTAGAGCTCGCGAGAATGGAACTTAGACTAGGTGTGGCCGTGCTCTTTCGGGAGTGCAGGGGTCTGAAGATGGCGCGCGGGATGACGGATGAGATGATGGAGATGGAGAATTTCTTCATGATCAGCCCTGTCGGGCACAAGTGCGAGGTAACTCTGCCCTGATCTGATGTGCCGGTGATTAGAACGAAAGAATCAGAGTGTGGTTTGTGGTTGCGTACGCAGTAGTCTGGCTCGGGGTTTCCGGATCGCGCAATTCGAGGCGGTCATTGAGAAGTGGGCAGAATTTTGGGGTATTTGACTCACGGCGGTTGCGTTTTCAGAATGCCATACCCGGATCGGTTGCCGCGACGCGGTGTTTGGCAGGTTTCCCACCGTTTGGTAGATCTTGAAGATGTTGATCAATTTGGACCTCCACTTACATCGATCTGTGTGACGCAGAGGGACGCCAGGGCTTCCTATCAACTATGCTATCAGTTCCCATCATTATCGAGAACCCCTCGTCCCTCTCCCGGTCTTGCAGGTAAGGTCCCGTCTTGGCCAGGTCCCTCGGGAGGCAGCACGTGGGGATGGACCCTTTCTTGCAAGTGCCCTTTGTCACGGACATTACTAGCTCGGCGCAAGTTTTTTTCTCGCCATTCTTCCAGAAGAATTGTAGAAGATTTTCAGATGAACGACTCATGCGTTCGCCTCCCTGTTCGCAGATTGCAACCGGCGCTTCTAGCCACTCACAAGTCTAATGGGTGCTGAAATGAGTGGAATCGGGCCCGCCACATACCGCGCTACCGCGCTTTGTACCTCCGTACCGCCGGCGCAAATTGGATGGGGCCCACAGCACCCCGTCCTCCGCGACCCCGGACCCGCCCGCCTCGGCCAACTTGGGAAGAATTTTTACGTACCTGGAATTGCCATCGCTCCATTTCTCAAAGCTTTTCTGCGAGACCGGAGATGGGATAGCTTCTGAAGCTTCGTGTCTATGCTTGTTGATGCGTTGTATCAAATGCGACACGTTTGAGGTGCCATCAAGACCCTCACAGCGTGTGGTAATCGTATCACCATGGCAGAAGACTACATCCAGACCGAAAGCAGACCGAGGTGAAGAGGTGAAGCGCGGCCAAGCTCGGTGAGAGCGCCCACCTTCACGATCTGCTGCAAGCTCTCATCTTCGCCCCTCATGCCCCCACACTACCCAGGAACGCCCCGCGAACTAGCCCGATGATGCCATTGTCTAGTGCCCAGTCCTCCGGTCTCGCCCTAGGGATGCGAAAAAAATCTTGCAGATGGGATTGACTCCCGCTAGGTATTTCATATAATCTGGATATGGGCCCCTCCACGTCTAAGAGTCCGTTCCCTCTGGACAACCTTTCGACTGTTCATTCCTTCAAGTTTCGAACAAACATAGGCATTTAGCCCCAACGGAACAATCGCCGGCTTCAGTCACTGTCCTTGAGAAACAGGATATTCAGCCATGACGGCGTACGATTCCTCCCGGCCCCGGTCCATCGGGCCCGCCGCCGACGACGATGTGGTCCGCGACATTGAGAAGTCTGGTGCCGAGGACCACCACGACCACCATGACGACAAGGCTGCCATCCTGGAGCCCCAGCTCAACGTCGGCGGCCATGGTCGCACCCAGCGCCGTCTTCGCGACTACCAGGTCACCATGATTGGTTTCTGCAGTGGTATCGGAACTGGTCTCTTCATCGGAACGGGCTCGGCCTACGCCAAGGCCGGCCCGGCTGGTCTTCTGCTCGCCTACATCATTGTCGGTGCCGTTTTGTGGTGTGTGATGCAGAGTATTGGAGAACTTGCGACGCTGGTACGTGACAAAAGCAGACGCTCTCTCACAGTTATGACGCGTAACGGCAAATTGACTCTTGATTACAGATTCCCACCGCCGGTTCATTCCCTCACTGGGCAACCCGCTTCATCGACCCGGCCGTCGGCTTCTCCCTCGCAATCTCCTACGGCTACTGCTACACAATCTCCATCGGCGCAGAAGCCTCGGCGGCTGCGATTCTGGTATCGTACTGGACAGACATAACGCCCGCGGTCGTCATCACGATATCCCTCGCCCTTATCCTCTTCTGTAATCTTCTCAGCGTGCGCTGGTACGGCGAGACCGAGGTCGTGGGCGGCTCCATCAAGGTCCTCTGCTTCATCGGCCTAGTCTTCACCTCCATCATCATTACCGCCGGCGGAGGTCCCAACCACGAGGCCATTGGCTTCCGGTACTGGAATAACCCGGGTGCCTGGGTTGATTACAACGGCATCACCGGTTCGACTGGTCACTTCCTGGGCTTCCTCGCTGCCTTTGTGAACGCGTCCTTCTCCTTCATTGGTGTATGTTATCCCCTGCCGCAGTCTCTCTCTTTCCCCCCTCAAGAGAAGAGAGTCACAGAAGCTAGAAGCTTCGCGAACAAAAATTGACACCAAAAACAGGTCGAGACAGTCGTCATCAGCGCCGCAGAATCAATCAACCCCCACAAAGCCATCCCCAACGCCGCCCGCCGCGTAACATGGCGCATCGGCTTCTTCTACGTCCTCGGCGCCCTCCTCATCTCCCTCATTGTCGACCCACGCGAAGAAGGCCTCGTCTCCGACTCGGGCAACGCAAACTCCTCCCCCTGGGTCATCGCCATTCGCCAGGCCGGCATCAACATCCTCCCCTCCATCGTCAACGCCTGCATCCTCGTCAGCGCCTGGAGCGCGGGCAACTCGTACTGCTGGGTCGGCTCCCGCATGATCGTCGCCATGACGACGGACCGCCAGCTGCCGCAGTTCTTCGGCCGCACGACCAAGCACGGCGTGCCGTACGTTGCTGTTATCACCGCGTGGTTGTTTGGCCCGTTGGCGTACCTCAGTCTCGGCTCTGGCGGTGCCGCTGATGCGTTCAACTGGTTGCTGAGTTTGAGTACCGTTGCTGGGTTGATCGCGTGGGCCACGCTTTGCTTCTGCTACATCCGCTTCCACAAGGCGATGAAGGTGCAAGGTGTCAGCCGTGACACTTTGCCCTGGAAGGCACCTTTCCAGCCGTTCGCTGCCTGGTTCGGCTTCATTGGATCGACCATTATCGTCTTCGTAGCTGGCTTCTCCGTCTTCCTTGCTGGTAACTGGTCGACCTCGGACTTTATCTCATCGTATATCGGCATCCCCATCTTCATCGTGCCCATCATCGTGTGGAAGATTGTTCATAAGACCAAGGTATGTTTTCCTCTTCGTTCATACAAGTTGAAGCGCAGTCCACTGACTATGCTTAGTTCGTCCGCGCTCACGAGATCGATCTCTGGTCTGGCCGTCTTCACGAGTCAGAGTGGGCCCCAGAGAAGGCCAAGCCGACGACATTTGGCGGGAAGGTCAAGGATTGGTTCTCATGATCGACACAGACATTGGAGTCGGGTGTACCTCCACATTGCCGCCATTCGCGCGCCTGAAGATAGAGGTTGTGTAGCATTAGTCTTAATAATGGAACTACGGAAACGTTTCCGAAGACTCAAAACATCAATCTCCCCGTGTGTGTAAAATTGATCAAGCCAGACAAGCTAGTAAATACGTTACCATTTTGGCCATGGGAGACCTGACATTCTGTCATCAAAGCCATGCAGGAAGCAGTTTGAATCGCAATCAAGCTACCTATGGTCCAGTGACCCAAATCACAAGGGATAAGTCTTCCACGAGCTTTTCTCCGTGGGCAAGTTAGCTATCCTGCCACGAAATGAGGTTATCATCGGACCTAAGCTATCTTCTGCTAGGAGATGATGATGGAAGATCTCTCTTGATGCTATGGGGAGCAAGCAGTCCGCAGCGGGTGTGCAAGTAAGTATGCGTCTGTTTCCTTGTAGACCTTCCAGTCAGGCATCACAAGGAGGGGCTCTTCTTACGTCTCATACGAGGCCTCCTCTATCAACACTAGCCACGACCGTCGCACGCTGGTGTCTGCAGGGCAGTTGTTTATCTGACTGAACCCAACGCCCTCCCTCCATCGGGTGATTCCACATCGTTTTCCATCTCGGAAGGTCGGGCCCGGTACAAGAACGTCATTCCAAAGTTGCTCAACCCCTGTCAGCCCATCCAAGAAGGGCGAGAGGAGCTCAAGTCATTGAAATGAGCTAGCCTGAACTTTGACCGACGTCAAGGCAAAGATGTCCAGATTTTCGATAAGCTGACCACCAGACTACACAGTACATGAGGTGGTCTCGAGCAGTCGATCCCACCCTCCTCCCCGTTATCGCTGCCCTGGCGGGTTTCGAACCCCAGGTTTCCGGCGGTCATGACCAAGATCGTTGCCAATTTTGACTTTGCTTGACTAAGTGCAGTCTCGCTCAAACGACTTGCGTAGTTGGCCCTCGTCGGGTCCCTCCTGCACGTAGGTGTATCCACCATACGCGATGTTGGTCAGCCGGGAAGTGAGGCTTGTCAGCCGTACGTCGGTAAAGTGTGTAGTCAGACGTCACACCATACACCGCACATCCACACACACCTTACAGACACGCATATCCCGTACGCCTACATAAATGACCTCGTAGTACACACACAGCCCTTATCCCCCGCGTTTTTTCGTGTCCACGTACCGATAACGGAGTCGCCGCTGTACTGCGCCGCAATCCGCCCATGCATCTGCATTCCACGATGTGTTTACGACATGGGGTTCCAGCTACATAGGGGTTTGGCTTGATAGTAGCGAAAGGGCAATGGACTAAGACTTCGGGGCTCATGGTTTCCAAGCGGGGCGGCAACGGTGCCCGTTGTTCCGGACCAAGCTTACATACACGTGAAGTTCAAAGTCGTCGTCAATATCGTGCTAGTGTGATTGTAGCAATAAGCGCATTCGAGCGACCGACACCAAAAGCATGCATAAGAGAGCCACGACACGGTTGCTCACCCACTGTATCGTACACACGAGAATCCAAAACAAGGCCAGGAAATGATGTTATCAAGATGAATGAATCAGTTCGCTCTATGGCTATTCTACGAGAAAGCTGCAAAAGCTGCAAAAGTCTTGTCGACTCTTCGGTTGAGTTTCGAGAGTCTCGTGGGCCGGAAGGGCTTGGCGTAAGCAGGCCCGTAGGACGGCAGATCGGCTGGCTCAAAGAGGTTTGGTCTCCTCCTGCACCAGTCTCGGCCGTTCCGGTACAACGCACTTTTGCGCTGTTGCTGATTTGCTTTTTTGGCCCGTACATTAAACCCCCCTCTCCCCTGCTAGAGCTTATTATCGTTCCGGTTGTGCTGTGGTGGGAGTGGCTTTTTGACTAGCCTTACCACGCATGGTGGGATTGCAAGGGGTTTCGCGGTTTCGAAGAGACCCTGGCTCGCCCTGTTGGTCCTGATTCTTGAGATTCTAAGGAACTTTGTGACCAAGGCCAAGGAAGCTCTGCATTGGAAGTGTTGGATGTGTTACCCGATCCTATTACCTGGGCTGCATTCATATATGTGTGTCTACCTGTCAGGCGCCTTTGGATCGCTATTGATTGGGATGCTGGGTGGGTATGATCTGCCAGGCGAGGTTGGAAGAATATCCTCATCGAGCGACTGGCAGCCGTTGAGATAGGTATCCGTCTTCAATCGATAGTCGCCTGTAGATCAGTCGCCAAGGTCCCGGATGCTCAGGGTACAGTAGGTCTGGTGTCGCACAAGAACTCTGCGAACGGCGTCGCCAAGATCGCGAATGCGTGGCAGGCCAGGCAGGGTCCCCGGAGCGCTCTTGTTTTTGCGAGAAAGTCCCGCTGGCGAACCTTATGAGTGGCTGAGACGTATGAAATGACATCGGCTTATTTCTTTGGAATCAATAACGAGACTCTCTTTCTAACCAATCTTCTTCGGTCGTAAAGTACATGCTCATGACTAACAAGGCAGAAGGGTATCATGAGCCTCCGTCACCTCGACTCATCTATGTCTTTCTGAAACGTCTATTGGCAGTCACGATGACAACGCTGCCTAGGATGGTACGAAGAACGAAGGCGTAGCAGACACCTCACATGATGAGAGTTATGATGCGATCTCGAGATTGGTTCGCAATGGCGGTATCTTCTCCTGGACTCCTGCATTAGAGACGCTGCACCGCCTGCAGCGGACATCATAGAGTCCGCTCTTTAGGGCTGAGCGTGAATCATCGTGGCACATCGACATAGACTTCTCCAGAGGCCTCACCGTCGTCATCGACCACCCAAGATCGCGGTAGACTCGCCATCAAATCTTTGGCTCCAACGCAGGGAGGGTGTGGCGTACAGACCACACCTCTATGCTGACAGGCGGACCAGTGAGAGAGTCCACGACTGATCCCCAGAGACACACGTCCCCTAGGCAGACACACACTTGATATGCAGGTTGCATACAATGTCTCTTCCCCCCCGGTCCAGTCCTCGCACTTCTCGGACGACGTTGGACAGGCACGTCAGTAGGACCTCGGACTAAGTGGGTATGTTTGAATTAGGCAGGGCGGGTAAGGCTGGCAGTTGGCTTCTGGACGGGATCCCGGGTGTGTCCCGTGTGCCAGTAACTCGGCTGTGGTGCCCCCCTTTCCCACCCTTGGTGGTCCCTTTGCTATCCCCTGGCGTCAGAAGTAGCGCCGGCTGCACCCAATCCAAGGTCTCTGATCGTGCCGCCTTAACGGGCGCTTCTCTTGTTTGGGAATCTGACTCCGAGAAGGCTGATCAAATCGAAAGACGCGAAGGAATGGGGGTGGTGGTGGTGGGCAAGTCCTTGTGGTACATGGAAGAGGGACGATTTTCAACCTTGTTGTAATATGTGTTGGGGGCCATTTCCGGCCCCCAAACTTCTTCTTTTCCCTTGGAAAGTTCTTGTTAATAGTATGGAATTCACTCTTAAAGACGGGAGTTTCGCCCTACCAAAAGCAAATTTCCAAGATTCGCAAATCTCTTCTTCTCTATTCTCGAAAAGTAGGAACAAAACGAACCACAATGACTTCGTCTGCGTGCACCTACGGCGGAACCCAAATCAACTTCCTGATGCCCCGGACACCTGGTGTGGCATGGACCGAACCAGCGGGACACCCAACGGCCCCCAAGTATGATCCCACCCCCATCCCGACATGCAGGGCGGCGAACACACAGATCTGGTTGGTGGCAAACGAGAAAGGACAGGACATCGGGCGCTGACATTTTTTGATTTTCTGATTTGTAGCAGGAATGGAGGCAACAATGACAGGCCGCAGATTCTCACGTTTGCTTTACAGAAAAGGCCACGGGCGACTCGGGCGAGTGCCAACAAGGTCCGGACGGGATGCATTGCTTGTAAGCCGGTCTCACCATAGTCCATGTTTTGAAAGACTTCTCTTCTATATTCTAATAGTAGCTAATCAAACATCGTCACAGGCAAGTGAGTATTCCTCCTCGGAGTGAGAGAGATAGAGAGAACGCAGGAATAGCTTCTCACGCCTTGTGGTCCTAGGCGCCGACACGTAAAGTGCGATGAAGTAAAGCCCTCATGCCAGCGATGCGTGAAATGGCAAGGGTTCTGTGAAGGATACGACTCTCCCAACAGCTCTTCGGCCTCCCCCGCTAGCTCAGACGACGCAGATAACACCAACAAGACAGCACCATCATCCTCAACAACATCATCATCATCATCCTCCTCCGTCTCTCGCGTCTCCAAGAAGAAGCCGCTCGTCGCAAACACCCGCCCCAGATCGCAATCTCAACTAATCGACATCAGCCTACCACTCGAACCCACAGAGAACCTCTTCGTCAACGTCTTTGAACGCCAATACTTTGACTACTGGCTCTCCCGCCGCTACCGCCTCGGCGGCGGCTTCTTCGACGAGCAGCTATGGGCCGAGACCATCCCGCAGATGAGCCACCAGCACGCCTCGGTCCGGTACGCCGCCATGGCCGTCGGCGGCATCGGTAAAGCCCTCCACCACAGCCTGAAGCCGACCACGCCCGCCCAGCTCGGCGCGAACGGGCCCCACTACGGCCTCGCCCTCTCGTACTACGGCCGCGCCATCCGCGAGGTCCACAAGGCCGTCGCCGCGCCCCGCGACGAGACCAACAGCAGCAGCAGCCTCCGAGCCGCCATCGTCTGCTGCCTGCTCTTTGTCTGCTTCGAGGTGCTCCACGGTGATCGTAAGGCGGCGTTTGCGCTCATCAATAGCGGGCAGACGATGATGGATGAGCTGCTGCGCCGGTGCGAGGAGGATAAGGGCCGGGATAAGAGCATTATTGGCGCCGAGGCCGTCGAGACGGAGGCGCTGCATGTGTTTCAGCGGCTCATCCAGCAGTCTTGGTCTTGCGGTGTGCTTCGAAGGCGGGAGAGGCGCCCCGAGAAAGTAGAGGGCGATCTTGTCGCGGAAGAGAAGAAGGACTCGTACTCGTCTGAGTCGTGGTGCTGCCAAGGAGGACCGGGGAGGAAGAGCGCGATTCACAAGATGCCCGCCATCTTTAGTAGCCTCCAGGAAGCTCGTCGATGGTGGGATGTGACGCAGCACTACGTGACGCACTCCTCAGACATCGTCTGCCGCGTGACCCAGCTAGGGTTAAGCGAAGACTTCCTCTCCGAGTGCAACGAGCGCATCCGGAGACAACTAGAAGAGAGCGAGCGCTTAAGAACCGGAGCTGTCAGCAAATCATCCTCATACTCATCCTCATCTGCGGCTACAGGAGCCGAGGACACCGCCTCGCGCTGGCAAGACTTCAGAGACGCCCTAGCACGATGGGCAACCGGCTTCGCACCCCTCTGGACCGCCGCCCGCAAGACCAAGACCTCGGACGAGAGATCCTACAGCCAAGCAGCGCACCTCCGCGCCCAATACCTCACCCTCTCCAACTGCCTCGAGTCCCCCCTCGGCTGCAGCTACGAGCGCGTGGCCCGCCTCACCCCGCGCTTCCGCGAAGTCATCCAGCTCTCCGCCGGTCTGCTCGACTACCAAAAGCGCTCCTCCTTACCCGGCGAGATCTTCACCATGGACATGGGTCCCACCTGGCCTCTGTTCCTCGCGGGGACGCGGTGCCGGGTGCCGGAGCTGCGCAACGAGGCGATCCGGCTGCTGCGGGAGAACCCGCGGCGTGACGGGCTGTGGGACAGCCGGTTTTTCTACGCGCTGATGATGAGGAACAAGATGTTGGAGATTTCGAATTCGAGGGAGGGCACGCCCGAGGAGCAGTGGTGGCGGCTGCAGCATCGGTCTGCGTGTGTTGACGAGCAGGGGGCGTTGATTGCCAAGGCGATGGATAAGAACCCTTTGACGGGGACGTGGGATCTGGGGGAGGATAACGTGAGGAGATTTCTGTTTGATTGAAGAAAATTTGTTTCTTTAAAAGGGAGGAAGAGGCTGGTCTCGTACCCCTTCTTGTTGTATGGATGAGGGAGAAGGTGGACATTTTGGTTGACTCTTCATCTGAGCCTTGACCTGTTGGAAGGTTAGTTTCTGGACTTCAGACTGGCATTGGAAAGATTTGTTAGACAGACATGTCTTCAGATTGCTGAATCTTGGGTGGTCATTGTCATGTAAATCCTCAGGCTAGATTGGATCCGTTCATGCCTGATAACTACCAGTAATGAGTATGTACCCAAAGACTTGTATCCTCACAAGGAACCATCACGATATAACGGGCAATGATAAAACCCCCAATTATTGGCTCGTGCAGTAATGAGACATGCCTGCTTGTTCTAAAGTTTAAAGGTAAATGTGATTTCAAACACTCAGAGGGGGGTGGTATCCTAAACTCAACACAAACCCCTTCCAGCCCATCAAATCAAGTCCCTACCCATCAAGGAACCCCTTTAGTCAAATACATCCGTAGCATACCTCTCATTCCGAATCCCCTCAAACCACTTCTTCGCCCCTTCATATTCCAAATCCCTCAACTCAGCAAGTCCCTCACCCTTGCCCTCCTTCGCAGACTCCAGAATGACCCTCACGCAAGCCTCCTCAACCGCCTTCCCCACACTCCTCGTCCCGCACACAAACAACTTGGCCCCGCGAGCCCACAGCTCCGATACATCCTTCTTGTCGTGGTACATTCTGTCCTGCACATACCGACAACCTCCACCCTGTCCTTCCCCTTCCCCTTGCGAAGTAGCGCGAGAATACGCCCTCCGAACAGAAACAGCACCCATCTTCTCCCAGGCATCGAACTCCTCGCGGTACAAATCATCTGCGCCCGGTCTTCGGCATCCGTAGAACAGCAAAGCAGGCGCAAGCGTCCGTCCCGCAGCCAGCATCGCCGCGCGCTCTTGTACGAAACCGCGGAAGGGTGCGATGCCGGACCCAGCGGCGACGAGAATTAGTGGGGTGTTTTCCGGGTCGCGAGGCAGGTGGAATGCGGCGTGTGAGGGCCGGACGGCGACATGCAGCTTGTCGCCCTTCTTGAGAGCGGCGAGGTAGCTTGTTGCTACGCCGACGTGGCGGCCTTGGCCCGATAAGGATGGCGAGTCGAGAACGGAGTAGGTTAGAGTTGCTTGAGAGGGGTTGCGAAGTGGAGAGGATGAGATTGAGCTGAAGGGATCAAGAAGTTAGCTGATATGTGTTTCGGAAGAGAGAAGCAGAGAGAACATACTATTGGCGAACACGCATGGGAGGGAGCATGGCGAGAAACGCGCCGATAGGCAGCGCGATGGACGGGAATCTCTCCAGGAGATCTAGGACGGTAACCCGCTTTTGAGTGATTTCCTCTTGATACTCATCGCCGGCGAGCTGCTCCAGCTTCTTGATGGTGTCATCATCTTGGGTCGCTTCCATCAGAGACAGAATATTCCGCTTCGTCGCTGGCTGCGCGAGCTCTACATACGCGCTGAGAATATCCAAGGCAGAAATCGTCTGGTTGACTGGCAAGGCAGTCCTCTTATCGCCAGAGATGGTGAGGCACGCATCCCACGCTAGCTGGAACCTCCTAAATACTCTCTCGACATTGCTGCGTGGGTTCAGGGGCAACACCGCGAGATAGTCTCCCGACCTGTACGTCATATTTGACGGGAGCTGGATATCCATGTGTCTCTTCTCGGGTTCACCAGGCGAAGTCAGCATCTTCTCCTCCATAACGACAGCCTCCTGGACATCGGACCGCAGCGTAGATGTGCGCGGGTTGGAGATCTGCACGGCGAGGCCGGATTGCAAGCCACTGCCGTCCTGTGCCTCGTTCACTTCGTACTTTTCAGCAAGAGCCGGCCACAGGATTTCGTCTTCCCAGACTTCAAAGTCGGAAAACATGTCTCGCTCGGCTGCGTCGGTAAGACCCATGGGAACGAGCCTGCTGCCTCCATGCTCCTCCATGGTGGTATCAACCAGATGTGGGATGCGGTGGAAGGTTTGCACCCAGTCATGGTGACCACAGCCAAAGACGGCATAGGGAACATCCTGCAGCTCCTGGTCCTTCAGGCTCTCGAGCCAGGCGACGAAATGGGCTGCGTTATCTGGTGGCTGGCCTTCGTATGAAGCAGTGATGATGACCACGGGCTGGTTTTTGACGAGATTTTCGCGGGCGGTATCAAGAGGCTCGACGACCGTGGCATCGAATCCGTGGGAACTCGCGTCAGTCGCAAGGCGCTGGGCGAGGGCCTCACAGGTGCCACTGTTAGAGCCGTAGTAGATGCTAATGGGTCTCCCGTTTCGTGCGGAGGCCTTGTTTCCGTTGGTCTGTTCACCGTTCGCCTGAGCTGATGGCGAGGGCCGATGAGCCAGCTTGGTCTTAATCGGTCCCCTACCCGCGAGTTTGTGCTCCAGCTCTGTGGGACTCATGCCGTGCCGCAGAGTCGCGCGCATATAGAAATCTTTTGGCTTGATTGTTAGGGACTCGGAGATCTTGAGCTGGTAATTCGGGTCATCCATGGTAAAATTGAAGTTTTGCAGCAGCATGGCTGTGGCGAGCAGAGCCTCTTGCCAGGCGAATGGTCGGCCGATACAAGCGCGCATACCGTTGCCAAAGGGTTTCCACGAATTCGGGAATTCCTTCTGGGTTCGCTCAAAGTTTTCGTCCAGCATTCTCTCGGGCTTGAACTCGCCGGCATCGTCGCCGTAGACGATTGGGTCAAGTTGGGATTTGCCGAGCAGGCAGGCAATGGATTCGCCCTTCTTGACTGGGTATTTGCCGCCGATGAGGGTGTCTTCCTTGGCTTCAACGGCAAAAGCCGGGATCGTGGCGCAAAGACGGAGAGTCTCGCGGAGAACCTAGCAGGTCGGAATGTCAGTGTGATTGTCTTAACGGATCGTGTGTAGAGCTGTCGAGACTTACGGCATTTAGATAAGGCAGCTTTGAAAGGTGGTCTATCGTGATGGGGGCTTGCCCAATGACATCGTCAACTTCCTGCTGGGCTTTTCGGTATGCCGCTGGTTGGCGCAGAAGCTCGAAGAATGCAAAAGACAGCATGCCGGAGGTTGTCTCATGGCCGGCAATAAGAAACGTAATCAGGTTATCAATAATGCTAGCATCGGTCATCTTCTGGCCCGTCTTAGGGTCCACGCCGTTGAGCATCGCAGACAACAGGTCCTTTCTGTTCGATGGGTTTGCCTTGCGTGATTCAAGAACTTCTCTGGCCGTTTTACGTAACAGCTCAATGTCGGCAAAGAACTTTTGCTCCGTGCTCCTGAAGAAGTAGTTGGCAAAGGCTGGTCTCTTGTCCCTGTTGCCGCATTCTGTGAGAGCGTCGCCCATGGCGTTGATGAAGGGGTGGAGTTCCTCGCGGTAGTACGAGTTGAAGCGGAAGTCCATTGAGCAGAGGGCAATTGTGTCGAGGGTCAGCCGAGTGAAGTCGTCAGTGACACGAATCGGGGTCTGGCTTCCGTGGCGGGCCCATTTCATGGCCATTTGGGAGGCAACGTCGGCCATTTCGTCAAACATGCCGCGGATGGTGACGGGACCGAAAGCTGGGATAAGGATTCTGTGCGCGATGCCCCAGTTGGGTTCCTCTGGTTTGGCCTGGAAGTTCGTTAGCAAGAATGTTGCTGTGGGTATAGAGGGGATTCTTACGGTGAAGAGACCATCGTTGGCGATGTGTCTGACTTCCTGTAAGGACTATTAGCCTTGCTAGCTGTCCTGGGGACTCTTGGTCTTTCTTACGCGAAGGACATTGTTCAAGGACTTTTGGAAGCGAGTCTCATCGCACACTTCGTTGACAAGGGCGTTTGTGGATACGAAGACTACAGTCATTCCTGGCATGCGTAGCCGGTAAACCTCGCCTGGAAGTATGGTTTTAGCAAACCTGAATTGGAGTGATGGAGACACGCCTCTAAAGAAAGTGTATGGGCTTACCATATGTATCAGCCAAACGATGTAGGTCGTTCAATGGATTCTCAGGATTGAACTCGGCAATGTGTCCTAAGAAGGGGAGACCTCTTGGTTCGGGGATAGGCACCTCCTCTTTGGTCGCCATGTTGACAGTGGTTGACGTCGTATGATTTGGGATACGGGGGGTGACTCTGGGTAGGTGGGACGAGAACGAGGGGACAACGTCCAATTTGTACTTCGAAAAGACGTCCAAGACTCAAGTCGAGTCTAGTTCGAGCCCGTGTCAAGGGTAGAGTAATATTCCGGAGTTGTTGCAGGGTGGAGAGGTAGAGAAGGGAGATGCGTGTGGAGCTGTGGAACAACTCGGTGAATTCCCACCGTCTCTAATGATCCCTAACGATGATCTTAATGGCTAATGGCCGACGGCCTTTCGGTTTCTAGTAGTATCGTGGCGGCTTCTTCTCAACCCAGAACGCTGGGCATGTGGAAACGCTAGCAACAGGAGTGAGCAGGAAATTGTGAGAGATGTGGACGAGAAGATGATCAAAAGCTGGCTTTTAAGAGGATGATTACGATGGTATGGGGTTGGGCGGGTCGACATGTACGTTGGTCCGGATACAGCGCCAGGGGTATTGGATAGAGATGCGCGAGGTGCTCGTAACCTTTAGGACGAGTCCAACTAAGGTATTCGTACTTGGAGCCCCTCAATGTTTGGCCACTTATCGACGCTACTTGGTGTGTGTCCCCCCGGTTTTCAAGTACATTAGTTGGTACGGATAGCGGCACGAAACGAAGGATCTTTGCCCGCAGCGGTTGGTTGGAAATGCCTGTCCTATTTGAAACTGTTGGTTGGGACGCGCATCTACGGCCCAAATCGCATAGCTACCTACTCACATAGGCAGCGATTGTATCAAGGACTTTACAGAGACAGAAAACCTTTCGCGACAGGCTTAGCTTCTGTGTAAAGTGCCTGGTGTCTCCCAGCTACACTAGGGCTGATGGTGCGTGGGAAGTGGCTGGCATACGAGTACACCCAGTGGCTAAGGTCTGAGACATCAAATTTGGCCGCCGCAAAAATGTCTCTCGCTCGCATTGTGCTGCCTGCCTGCCTGCGGTGTCATTCAACTCTTGCGGGGGTGCTTGTAATTGCTCTCGGGCGCCTTTCCAAGCCGCGACGCACTTTTGAACAATTCCCCGAAGCCTATGCATGTTGGTGGAGGACACTTGTCGTTTAATCGACAATGCCACGACCTGGGAACCAAAAGTGTTTGAGTCGTGATCCAAGGCCGGGGAGTTGCAACCGGAGCGGGCGAATAGAGTTCGGCGGGTTTGCAACGCCGACCCTCCGGTCGATAGACTCTCATGATGCAGCGATTGGCGGCGGACAGGCCCGCGCTGGGTGGATTGCTCCGCTAATGACTCTCGTCTTTCGACCCTGAACTCTGTTCTTGCGGGTATCGGTGGTCTCAGTGCTGCGGTCCTTCTGCCGCTGTGGAGGTAATTCGACGCATCGTCACTGTCATAACCAACAATGTTGAACGCAGTAATCGCGCTCGTTGCGCGAATATTGCCGGGTTACACATCGTCGAACCGCCAAGCAGTGCGCCTTGAATAGTGTGGGAGGTTGACAAGCCGGCGAGCGATTTATGCTGTTTCGTCGCGCTGCGCCGTCGCCGCCGAGAGTAAGGCGCGAATTTCCCGAGGCGAAAACGCCGAAACCGCGGCGATATGGCTTGTCCTGTCCTCCTTTCTCGATCGCAATCTGTTCGAATTCATCAAACGAAGTACTACGTGGTCAGTGCAAGATGACACTGTATCTCAAAGTCATCGAACGTCTTCGCCCTATGATTGATCTTGATGTGTCGTCTCCACCACTGTCCACGGCTGTGTTGAATACAGGCCCGGGACGGGGCTTGGGAGAGGAGTCGGATAGACTTGAACTCCGGAGCGGCTTTGAACGGGCCGTGCTTCGATCTTCGATTCCGGGTCAAGCAGGCTGCGGCACCTGGATTTACACGTCAGCCTTGACACCGAGTACATCTCAGAGGTGATATCTGAATACCTGGACAAAACAAAAACGACAAGACATAGTATGCAGCCGTACGTCATCTTATCTCATTGTTAGGCAAATCTGATATTCGTGGCTTGTATGGATCTGTGTCAGCTGTTGGTTTCGCAGTGTGCCGCCCAAGGAGCCGAGTGTAGCAAACATCGTATGTCGAAAGGATGAATCGATCATGGAGTGATGAGATGAATGGGAAGAATTGAGTCGAAATCATCAAAGCCATCAGGATACGGATATTCTGCACCTTCCTCCCGAATTATCGACACTGGACGGAGGCAGGGACGGCGGACGACGAGCATCGGCGGCAATGGCAGGAGCTGGTGCCCCACCGCGGGGTAGCCCGTCGCGGGGTCAGGACCTGCCACTCGGCCACATCAACCCGGGTGCCAATCCCGCCATTTTTTTCCATCGTCAACTCCCGTCCCGTCCAGCCCGCTGCGTAAACTTCCTCACCTCACGATAAGGTACAATCCAATTTCGAAGGTTCCGCTCAAACTCCCAATCGACACCATGGCAGACGTTAAAGCAAACGCCGAGGCCTTAATTCCTAAATTCAAGCTCGATCGCGTCCTCAACCAAGGTATGATCTAGCCACACCGCCACCACAAACTCCCGGGCGCCAACACTGACGATACCCTCACCAGACCAAGCAGGCCGTCGCACCTCCCTCCTCGGAACGATCGACTCAAACCCAGCCCTCCTAATCCTCGAACGCGCCCCCTTCCCAGCCGACCCCTCCTACCTAGCCGCAACCCCAACAACCCTGTCCTCCATCACGAACCTAGGCGCAAACGACATCTACCACTGGTACCTCGCCAACACCTCCTCCACCTCCACCGACACCTCCCTCGCCGACCTCAAAATAAACCTAATCTACCCCTGCACCGCCGCCCACATCAAAAAATACAGCAAACAAGGCGTCCGCTTCGTCACAGAGACGCCAGAGCTCTACGCCTCCCACATCCGCCCCTACATGCAACGCAAGCGCGGCGACGGCCGGCTGGACTGGGTCTTCAACATCATCGAAGGCCGCACCGAAGTCGAAGACGTAATCTACCGCACCCAGCTCGGAACCCAAGGCGACGAAGGGTTCCTGCTCATCCCGGACCTCAACTGGGACCGCAAGACGATCGAGGGCCTCCATTTGCTGGCTCTCGTCGAGCGCCGCGACATCTGGTCCCTGCGCGACCTCCGCAAGAAGCACATCCCCTGGCTGCAGCACATGAAGGCCAAGTTGCTGGCTGCGACGGTGAAGCAGTACCCCGACATCGAGATCGACCAGCTCAAGCTCTACGTCCATTACCAGCCGACGTACTACCACTTCCACACTCACATTGTACACGTGCAGCTGGAAGCCGGCGCGACGCAGGCGGTCGGCAAGGCCGTTGGTCTCGATAGCATCGTGGAGACGCTCGAGATCATGAAGGGAGATGAGGAGGCGGGTATGGATGGTATTGCACTAAGTTACACACTTGGCGAAGCCAGCGAGCTATGGACAGAGGTGTACGAGCCCCTCAAAAACTCTAAGCAGAACGGTACAACTTCTCAATAGCGATGACAAGATCGTTAGGGCCGGCACCGTGCGGACAGTCCTTCCACTCGCCGCCGTCCCGGATGCAGTAAATCTCCTCGTTGAGACGGACGGTGCAGCTCTTGGTGACGCCAGCCTATACAGTTGATTAGACATAGATGAGATAGGAGGGAAATGTGGGCAAGACTTACATCCTTACTCCGGCGGACGCTGTCACGCAGCATACCAACGCCGAAGCCACCATCGTCCTGGGTAGCACAGTCGTCAAGGGCCTTGATGTCAATGGCGTGCTCCAGAGCGCAATCCTCGACCAGAGTACGGTCAGGGATGGCGCTGTATTCACGGGTAAGACACATGGTGAATCCGAGGTTGATCTTGGGATCGGGGTAGAGATGGATGGCGCAAAGCTCAATAATGTTTCCCATGCCTGTCGTCGAGGTTAGCATTCACATGTAGTGCGGCTTGTGTTTTATGTAAGAGCAAACGTACACTCAGCAGGGCCGTGCTTGCAGTCTACGCCGTCATTTTCGGTCGGTCTGGATAGTGGCATCGTCAGTCACAGTGTCGTCGGCCATTGCAGAGCCCAGAAGGAGGGTCGTTACTTACGTGCCGATATATGAAAGGGTAAAATTGACCTTGTCGAGGGACTTAACCATGGTAGGCAGAACCAAATCTCTCAAGCAGTCCTAAACACGGATGGCATTAGCATCCTCTCCTCAATCATAGAAATGTCATCTCGACATGGAGTATTGCATACCCTCGCATCCGGACACTTGCTCATAATGTGCGCCTCCAAAGGCACCAAGCTCTTGGCAACCTCGACCGGCGGCTCCTGAGGCACGATGCGAGTATTGCTGCTGCTAGTGCTGCTGCTCAAGGGATGGCGCAGGTAATTCCACAGAGAGTAGGCGAACAAGACAGCCATAGCCAGGGCGGGCAAGATGCCTCTTCTCCGGGTCATCCGCGCAGACATGGCCGGGTAGGGAGGAGGTGTCGATGTGCGGTATCCGTAATAGTCTCGCTTTTCGTCCATGACAACGGGATATTCGGACTCGGGGTATCGGTACGGAGAAGGAGTTTGGGATGCGAGATTAGTCGTAGTCGTCGGGTCGATAGTAAATTGGGATCGAGCTTCTTCTTCTTGGCGCTGTTGACGGTAGACGGAGCGGTGTTCTGAACAGCCTCGATGCGCCCCCATTTGGAGAAGAGGAGCTGCAGGTGTTCGAGAGGTCCCCCCGAAGCAGAGTTTAGTAATGACGGGATCACGTCGCGAGGGGTGGTGGTGGTGGTGGTGGTGGTGTACTGGCACTGGCACTGGTGTATGTGTGTCTGTGAGATTGCGACAGAGACGCAGGGTGCGCGCAATGCACAATGCACTCTTCAGCCAATAGGAGTCTAGGATCTCTACGGAGAGACCCTTAGCAACGACGGAGCGGACGTTGGTGGAACGTCGACGCTAGCTGGATGGGGAAACGCTGGACGAGATTATCAGAGTACATGAGATTACAGTGAAGTGTAGCGTAATGACAAAGTACTCTTATATCTCCACCTTGTAAGCTCCGCGTCCAGCGGCACGCCATCAGCATCAACGGGCAACAGCGGGGGGCTTCCTGTTCCTGGCGAACCTCCCGTCCCGTCAGCTCCTCACTGCCTTATCTTATCAGCTGTTGCATTCCATCGTCAGGTGCGGGAGGGTCCATTGGCGCTGATGTAACAGTGCGAGGTCCTTCTGCCCCTCGACTGTACCTACCCATCTGACCTCATCAGATCTTATTTGTGTTGACTGAACAGTAAAAAACCTCTCACTTATTCGTAGAAACCACAAGAAGAGATGCTGAATGTATGAAATATGTCAAGCAAGTATGAGGTGGTAACGGTACCTGGATAAAGTACCCGTGCAGCTCCATGTCATATGTACCTATCTGGAGCAAGTGACTCAGTGGCCCGCTGTTGCTTTCAAGTTTCCACTGAGGAGAGGACCTCTCCCCTTCCTGTTCTGGGCTGAGCTACAACGGCAAGGACATCAGGTGTGGATGATGGAGCAGGCGCATCTCAGCTGAGTGTAACGTGCCCTGCTCCATACTCAATGCTCCATATTGTCATTCTCCCATCTCCTTTTCCACACATTGCGCAACTTCAAACGTCAGAGTCAACTTTTAGATTTCTTTATTCCCGACAACGAAGCCGTTTTCCACTCTCTGCCTGTAAAGCTTTATTTCAGCCACCCAAGCGAGCATACCTACCTAATCCGCAAACGAACACCCGTCCAGCAAAGCAACCGGCCTTGGACCCGGCGAAGCAAAGCAAGGGTTGCAGAGTGACATACACAGTAGACAAAACTACAGATCATTATACAGACACACAATCGTAGGAAACAGCCTCATCGCCTCGTCGCCTCGCGCCTCACTCACGCCTCACCACCGACCCCCGCGTTTGAGCACAAACGACATGGATCCCGGCTCTACCCTGCAGCACTTCCTGCAGCCCCTCCAGGTCGATGCCCACAAGATTCATACACTGTCCAGCCTTTTCTTGTCCAATTTCAAAGACCTCGCTCTTCACGCCCAGGATCAGTTCCTCTCCACGCCCATCTCAGAGTCCATCTTACGACATGTCAGCCAGGAAGGTCGTGGAAGGTATGATGGTTCCCTCCTTTAACCCCTCGATTCTTTCTCGACTCCGCCCAACTTCCTGAGATGCCAGTCATCTCTTTTAGAGAACCCTTTCAAATTACCCGGAGTAGTGGAAAGTTGTGATGAAATTGGTGTGTGGATTGCCATCTTTGATACTGAAGCTAACGACGCATTATAGACACTTGGCCATCGACATGTACGTTGCCTGCGCCCTCCCCAAACAAGCTCTTCCAACCGTCTCCCTCAATGCGCATCTCGCCATGTTGCAAGGCTTCTCTGAAGAATGAATCAAATCGCTAACCTCCACGTCAGCGGCGGAACGAATCTGAGGGTAGGCCTCGTCGAGCTCGGGCGCAAATACTCCACAGACACCAACAAGACAACCTCATCCAAGCCCAAGCCCAATGGGGCCTCATCCTCATCAACCCTCAAACTCAAAGAGGAAGCATGGCCCATAGACGATCGCGTCAAAGCAGATGCCAAAGGGGATCCCCAGCTCCTCTTCGATTGGATTGGCGCCCGTATTGCATCCGTCGTCCGCAATGCCCGCAAGGAGTCCCTCCTGCCCGATGATGATGAGTCCATTCCCATGGGTATCACTTTCAGCTTCCCCATGATTCAGCGCTCTATTGCCGAAGCGCAAATCATGACAATGGGCAAAGGCTTCAGTATAAAAGGCTACGCAACGCTAGGTCCTTTGCTCATCAGGGGCTACGACAAAGCTCGCAATGCCCAATCCAACGGAATCCACAGCAGCCCTCTGCCCCCCATCCACGCCGCCGCTATATCAAACGACTCCGTCTCAACACTAATCACCTTCATCTATCTATTTGACGAGTTCAAGTCCAGTCCCAAGACAAAATCAAAGTCTGAATTCAAG